GGCTTTAAGGTCATTAGATCAGAGACTGCTGGTGGTACCGCGCACTCGTTTTAAAACTCGTGGTGATCGGGCCTTTCAGACTGTGGCACCACGGTTGTGTCTGTCTCTTCGCTGCACGGACTCCATTGATTCTTTTAAGAAACAGCTGAAGACATTTTTATTTATAAAAGCATTTGATTAATTTCTTCTTATGCTGTTTTTATAGTTTTATTGTTTTACATGGTTTTATTTACTGTTATATTGTTTTTATATTCCCATTTCCTGTGTTGTAAAGCACTTTGTGATTTTTATCTGTGAAAAGCGCTATATAAATAAATTTTACTTACTTTTACTTACTTACTATGTGAGATCCGGAGCATCTGTAACTGACTGACTGAATGAGTGACTACTGATTGCGGGCACACAGCCAATCTGTGGTGGGAGCCAGAATTCTGTGTTGCAGGGGATCAAATGTTTATTTCCTTCAGTGACATGCAAATCAATAATGTGTTTTTTTCTGTGATTCTGGTTGATATTCTGTCTCTCTCCATTAACATAAAACTACCACAGAAACTAGAGACGACTCTTCACCTCTTTGTAAGTGAGCAAAAAGGTGACAAGACTATTAATACTGTTATTAATATTGTTTGAATCATCACCAGGCCCCGTATACACTCAACATTTACATTTCACACATTTCACACAGTCTTCGTGAGTGTGTGGGTGCTTTCAGAAGCTGCTTGTTGACCTCACCTGTCCATAAAAGGCCACTCTGAAATAGGTCCCGAGCAGCCTGCGGCCCGACTGGATCACCTCCATGATCTTATTGTACGCTCTGTGCAGAGTTTCGTACAGTCGGCTCAGTTTCTGGAAACAGTAGAACAGATGCCATCAGAGCTCGCCTGTTGTTAGCGATTGTTTGTTTATCGCAGCAAGTAGGCCGTAGCACACAAAGCCGGCACAGGAATTTGAGTTATGCAACTCGGCAAAACACACACGAATTAAAGTCTATTTGTTTTTGTATACAGAAAAAAAAATCAAAACTGCAAACCCACAGCTCAAAGAAGCAATTCTGTATATCAAGACAAACCAAAATATTATGACCAGCTCTGCCAAACATGTCGCTGCTACATCGTGTGGCGCCAACCGTGACCTCCCTAGGCATGGACTCTGGACACCAGTCACGGTGTCCTGTTATATTTGTTTAGCCGCTCATCCCTGATGTAGGTTAAGTACTGGAACGTCTGTGGATCAGACTTGTTCCAGCACAGCCCCCAGTAGACTAACGGCGCCAAGAAGGCATTGCTATTTCTGAGCCGCACACA